TTTCATAAATGAGTTGTTATATTCAAAACACTAAAAGCAGTGTTTGACATATGCTCAGTAAATATTAGCCATATCGTCATTAATATTATTACTACTGAGCACAGATGTTCTCAGGATTCAAAATAGTGGACATCAAGAAGTCACTCAAAGCTCCTGAAGTCTGGGGGATCTTCATCTACTACAGAGATGCCAAGCCAAGGAAACCAGAGACGGCTAATGCTTAGGTGGCACCTTCACAGTTTCCTGGGCATCTCTACGTTGTTGACAACCACAAGACTAATCAATCCCCTTTGCAATAAACACATTCCTTCTTGGATAAATGAACACAGCTTTAGTTAAGTGGCCGTCAAGTTCTGATGACCTGATGACATTTCCTTTCTAAGATGGCTTTACACAGCCCAGCTGCAATATGAGCTGATTCCAAGTTCTAACTCTAATGTCAATCTTTAACATTTAATTTTAAAAAGCATTTTTATATACAGCAATGCATTCTTCATTTTACCTTCTCAATGCATAATACCTTCTCAGTGTGAAAAACATAAATCTTTATATATAAGGCTGAGGCCATGACGTTTTTTATTGTGGTAAAATATACATAACACAAAATTTGCCATTTTTACCATTTTAAGTATGGTTCAATGGCATTAAGTACCTTCACATCACTGTGCAATCATCACTGCTATCCATATCCAGAATTTTTTCATCTGAAATTCTGGTGTGAAACCCTTTGGTCCCAACTGAAATCTCCTCTCTTTTGGGCTTGGCATGTATATAATTTCAGACAGTACCTTCTATGTTAGGGGGAACCCAATACATGCTGGATGGGCACGATGACCCAGGAGGGAGATAATCCACTGGCGAGTGTCTCACCTAAAGGCCTTCTCACTCCAAATCGGGGAGAAGCATTACCAAGCAATAAAATGACAGTGTTATTTCAAAGGAGGCAATCAGAATCTGGCTGACTACCATCTGAGCAATTAAATACTCTAATATTTTCCACAGTCCCTGTGAATGTGAAATTCGGTGCCTGCTACAAAGACATGGCACTAGCAGAGACAATAATTTTTCATATTTGCAAATATCCTTTACCTACTTTGGGTAGAAATGGACATTAGTAGTCTACATTCTTGTCAAAGCTAGCCATAAGTGTTGTCATTCCTGGTTTTGGTTTTAACTTAAAAGCAAAACTGGAAAGAGACATCCTGTTTGTGAAACATGATGTTGTAGGCTAATGCTACAAATACATATAAATTTTGAATAAAATAAAATAAGCAAGCATAACTAAAGAGGTGAGCTTTGGGGAAAAAGGAAACAAGGAAAGAAAGAACAAGCAAAGGGAAATTCCCCCACCCAGGTGGCAATGACTTTGTGTGCAGTGGCTCAGGGAATGATCAAATGTGATTCAGGCCCTCAGGGCAAGAGTTTGCACCCTCTGTGGGGAGAGCAGGGGCCTCATTCAAAACCAAGAACTGAAACCAAAGCCATGTGTCCGACCCGGACTTTGGAGGGGTGAACCTCTTGATAAACAGGGAGACTAAAAAAACTGAACCTAAGCAGGAAGGTGGCAAAGCAGCTTTCTCTATTGATAGCTCTGGGGAGAAAACAAAGCTATTTGTGAGGAGTCCAAATCCTAGACCAAAGTAGGTGTGCATCCTAACCCACACTACCTGTGTAGTGTGCAAGTCCTCAAAAACTTCAGATAATATACTGTGAAAGAGATGATGAAATAAGTATGTTTACAATTATTAGAAATACAGAAAGAGGAAAGTCATGAACACAGGTAATTAAGAAAAAGAACAAAAACTTTAAAAATGGAAAATATGATTCTTAAACTTTAACTGGATGGGTTAAAAACATATTAAACAAGATTAAAAAGAATTAATGAACTAGAAGGCAGCTATGAAGAAATTTTCTAGAAAGAAGCACAGAAAAATAGAAAGAAAATATAAAAAGCAGTTAAGAGACATGTAAGACAGAATAAAAAGAATATCGATGTCTTATAGGAATTCCAAAAATAAGTAAATAAAATGTTGTTTGAAAATAATGGCTAATGATTTTTTTTGGAAATGATGAAAGACCTGAATCCTCAGGAGCAGGAAAATAAGAATAAATAAAAATAAAAAATAAATCCTAAATATATAGTAGTGAAATTACAAAATGCGAAAAACAGAAAACCTGAAAGTAGCCAGATAAAAGACAAACTGCCTATGAGAGAGTAAGAATTAGACTAAGACTATATTTCTCATCAGCAACAATAGGAGCCAACAGTACAGGGGTTGGCAAACTCCCTCTGTAAAAGGCCAGATGATAAATATTTTAGGCTTCACGAGCCACATGTTCTTTGTGCAACTACCTAACTCTGCTAATATAGCATATGGGCCAGAAACAATATGAACACAAATGAGCATAATTGTATTCTAATAAAATTCTAGGGGCCCCTGGTGGCTCAGTCAGTTAAGCATCTGACTTCTTTCAGCTCAGGTCATGATCTCAGGGTCCTGGGATTGAGCCCCAAGTCCAGCTCCAGGCTCAACAGGGAGTCTGCTTCTCCCTCAGCCCCTCCCCCCACTTGTGCACCCGCTCTTGCTCTCTCTTCTCAAATAAATCTTTAAAAAATTTCTACTCATGGATGGACACTGAAATTTGACTTTTATATAATTTTAGGGTGTCCTGAAATACTCTGTGGATTTTTTCAGTTGTTTAAAAATATTTTAAAAGCAATTCTTAGCTTATGGGCCATACAAAAAGAGCCTATGGGCTGAATTTGACCTATGCGCTACAGTTTCCCAATCACCAGAATAGTATCTTTTAAGCAGTAAAGATAAAAAGGAAAGGGGGATGGGGGATGCGTTAGCCTGGTGATGGGTATTAAGGAGGGCACGTACTGAATGGAGCACTGGGTGTTATACACAAACAATGAATCATGGAACACTACATCATGGTGATTAACATAAAATAATAAAATAATAAAATTTTTAAAAAGCCATTAACCTAGAATTCTATGCCTAGCTAAACAATCACTAAAAGATGGAAGCTAAAAAAAGACAATTTACTACAAAGATGGAAAGAAATTACCACTCAAAGAATCTGGTTGAAAGAACTCCTAAAAGACGTGTATCAGGAATAATAAAATTAAAATCAGAAGGGAGTGAAATATAAGATAAAATGCTGGAGGGAGAGAGAAACAAACAAGCAGGTGTATCTGAAGGAGCACTGAAGGCAAAAAAAAAAAAAAGTAATAATGATGATACATTTTGCTTAAAAAACAAACAGCATCAAATTACCAGACAATAAAAACTTGTAAGATGGAAGGAGGGCAACCAGAAATAAAACATTCACAGTGTCTGTATCTCTCAAAAGAGGCCAGAGATGATTAACATTAAATTCTGTTAAATCAGTTATGCATAGTTACAAGTTTAAGGGACATCACATAAGGGAAACATCTTTTTACTTTAATAGGTATTTATTTACTTTGTTAGGTGACTTTATTTCAGTGATATAAAATCTCAATCAACTTATTTAAAATTTGAAACATGAGATAACTTACAAATATTTAAATAATAAAATTGGTAGTAAAGGGCTATGGCAAATATTTTTATACTGGTTGCAAATGACTTCAGTTCAAGTTTTCTCAAAAGCACTATTCATAGAGATAGGTGTGATTTTTCCAAATACATAAAATACACACAGCATTTTTATAATTTTTTTTCCGAAACACCAAAAGAGACTTGCAACTGTCATTTCTTAACCAATGAGCTATCACGCCATGAAGACATGGAGGAATATTAAATGCATATTACCAAGTGAAAGAAACCAACCTGAAAAAGCTACCTACTATATGACGCCAATGATAGGACATTCTGGAAAAGGTAAAACTATCAGACAATTTTTAAAAATCAGTGGCTGCAGGAGGCAAAGGAGGAAGGAGGAATAAACAGGTGGAGCACAAAGGAATTTTCAGATAGTGAAACTATTCTTTACCATACTTTGATGGTAGATACAGGTCACTAAATTCCACAGAATGTATAATACCAAGAGTGAACCCTAATGTTAACTTGTGAACTTTGGGTGATAATGATGTGTCAGTGTAGGTTCATCAACTATAACAAATGTACTACGCTGGTGAGAAATATTGGGGAAAGGGGAATGACAGACGTGAGAAACAGGAATTCTCTGTACCTTCATTCAACTTTTCTGTGAACCTAAAACTACTATTTTAAAAAGTCGTGTTTTTTTTTTTTTTTAATTCGCTTGCATATAATTAACTTTTTGTTTTGAAGACAGGTCAAGAATTATACCAGCTAACACTTACGGAGCATTTTACTAGATTTTCTCTTAAATGCTGATGAAATAGATACTATTATTTTCGTCTCATAACTAAGGACATCGGGGCTAAGAGAATTTACGTAATTAAGGCACATTCACAGAAAATGTAAACATCTGTTTATCTGACCACAAGGATGGCTTATTTGCTAGTACTCTGATGATTTCTTTTCATTTTCTTCTATTATCTGGCTTTAAAATACCTTCAGTTATTTTAATTACAAGCCTTATATTTTATTTGTGCACGACTGTCCAGAAAAGAAGACCTCAGAGCCTACAAAGCCTAGAATGCAGCGCGGCGCCGGGCCACCTTAGGGACGCAGCAGCTCGCCCCTTACCATACTGGGAAAGGTAGTTTTCTGGCCTGCCTCTCTTCCCCCGCCCCCGAGCCTCCGGATCGGAGCTTTGTTCCTATTCCCCTTCCCCGGCGCCACGGTTCGACCGACCCACCTGTCCTCGCAGGTCCTCCCAGTTCTGGAGACTGACGTGGGGATGCGCCCTTGACGCCCTGGACTCCGTCCCCGCGTCCCTGTCGGACGGGCCAGCGCTACCCACCTCACCTGCAACTCCGAGACACAGCGCTCAGAGGAGGACGCTCAGCCCGGTTACCACAGAAACGAAGTGCCTACGTCACGGCGCGTGCGGGAAGTGAAAGGTCATACCAGCTAGTTCCGCTTCCTGTTCCGGGATTCCGCTTGTTGTCAGAAAGCTTTGGGGTTCCGGCCAGCGCTCGGGGCCTATTTCTGGGGTCCAGGTTGGCGCGAGGTCGGCTGCTGCAGCCATGGCGGCCTCCACCGCAGCCGGGAAGCAGAGGATTCCCAAAGTGGCCAAGGTAGGAGACCGTGAGCGGCTTTGAGGGAGGAGGCCCCGGAGTGGGGCTTGCTCCAGCTTCCTTGGGGCTCGCGGCGAGAGAGAGGGTGGTGCCCAGCAGTTCTACCCCATGTAGGCCAAGGGGAAGGAGGAGGGGAATGGTCAGCCGGTGGTGGGGTACAGGCTTTTGTCACCCCGGGGCAAACCCCGCGTTGGCGTGGCCTTCGTTCTAGGACGTGTTTTTGCTGGGGGAGGAGTGGGGTCACTCGGCAGAAATTGGGCGGTGCGCTAGGCGCTGGGCAACTACGATCTAATGCGGCGATATGCAGCGTTCACATAAGACACGAGTCAGTGTAAAATTACAAGCTTGCCAAATGCTAGTGAGGCAGCGTAGAATATGCCGTGGAGTAATGGGGGTTGTGTGAGGGGTCTGCAGAGTAAACTTCGCTGAGGAAGTGATATTTAAACTGACACTTGATGGCTGACTAGGAGTTAGCCCAGCTGAGAGTGGAAGGAATGAGAGGGCATGGGATTGTGTAGTGGCGTTAATTTAATTAAACAATAAATTTGATGTTATCTGGTATTTCTATCGGTGGCTGATACTTACTGAGTGTTTCATATGTGACAGGCTTTGTCCTGAACCTTTTCAGATGCCTTCACTCCAGTCTGTTTCTCCAGCCCAGGTGGCTCTCTTGAGCGTGTCCTTTACATATCCATTTAGATGACCCCCAGAGATAATTTATATGTCACATAGCACAATGTCTGTGATTACACATGAGCCATCATCATTACTAACAAAATCATTCTACACATGACATTAAACAGTTAATATTTCTTTTTTTTTTTTTTTTTTTTTAAAGATTTATTTGACAGAGAGAGACACAGTGAGAGAGGGAACACAAGCAAGGGGAGTGGGGGAGAGAGAAGCAGGCTTCCCGCCGAGCAGGGAGCCCGATGCGGGGCTCGATCCCAGGACCCTGGATCATGACCTGGGCCGAAGGCAGACGCTTAACGACTGAGCCACCCAGGCGCCCCTTATAATTCAATTCCATAAATTTTTAAAAAGGTTTTATTTATTTGAGAGAGAGAGAGCACAAGCAGGGGGAGTGGCAAAGGGAGAAGCAGGCTCCCCACTGAGCAGGAGGCATGATGAGGGTTGATCCCAGGACCCTGGGATCATGACCTGAGCCGAACACAGATGCTTAACTGACTGAGCCACCCAGGTGCCCCTCAATTCCATAAAATTTTTATTGGGCACCAGTGGTGCAACAGAAATGCAATGTGAGCCACATATATAATTTTAAGTTTTCCTATAGCTATGTTAAGCAGTCAAAAGAGTCATCATTAATTTTAACTGTATTTTCTTTAATCCATTATATCCAAGATATTGCTGTTCCAACATGTAGTCAAATTTAATTAGGTAGTTTATTGGTTTTTTTTTTTTCATATGAAGTCTTCAAAATCCAGTGTGTATTTTGCTCTTACAGCCCATCTCTATTTGGGCTCACTACATTAGCTCATGGCTACTATGTTGGACAGCATAGCCCTAAGACTTCAAGAAACTTATGGTCTAATGATGGGAATTTACTGAATAATATCTTTGACTTGAAATGCCATGAAAAAAACAAATGCAGTTTGAGGTGTCATCGTCCACCTGGGACATAATTGAAAAATTCTATAAACAGAAGTGGCAACACTAGAAAAGATATAGCACACATCTTGATAAAACAAAACCTCTAGTGAGAATTTTACCTAAGCAGCCTCAAAGTTTATTGTTTTTTTTTTTTAAGATTTTATTTATTTACTTGACAGAGAGAGACACAGCGAGAGAGGGAACACAAGCAGGGGGAGTGGGAGAGGGCGAGGCAGGCTTCCCATTGAGCAGGGAGCCCAATGCGGGGCTCGATCCCAGGACCCTGGGATCATGAGTTGAGCTGAAGGCAGACGCTTAACGACTGAACCACACAGGCACCCGTATTGTTACACTAATCTAAAAGGGAACACTTACTATTTTTGCTCCCTTTTCTCTTCATACTTACCTATGGCTTTGTAATAAATACCGTGCGAAAGAAAACCTTGTTTTCTCTTTAGTTTCATAGAGAAATGAAAACCTGTCATACAAAGAGGGCATCTTGTAATAATACTTAGAAAGTTCACATCCTAAAAAATGTTTCTTTGCTTCCTAAATGTTGTGTGATGAGCATCTACCTAAAAATGAAAATGTCTTCTGTCTTAAAAGGTGAAAAACAAAGCCCCAGCTGAGGTACAGATAACTGCTGAGCAACTCTTAAGAGAAGCTAAAGAAAGAGAGCTTGAACTTCTTCCACCTCCACCTCAACAGAAGATCACAGATGAAGAAGAGCTAAACGATTACAAACTAAGAAAAAGGAAGGTCAGTCTGTCATTTTCCAGTCTATTAATAACATTTTTAGGAGTTTATAGGTCAGAGTTTATGAAGTTCCTCATTGCTTAGAGAGGCTATAAGATAAAATTAGGTTAGTGTTTCTAGCCACATGCGTAGTGCAACTTCTGGTTACCAGATAATTGCATTTTGCTCAACTTTAGGAAATATGCCATGAGTTGTCTTTGAAAGTATGAAGAAATTAAATCCTCCAGAGATCTAATTTTTGGTGCTGAATCCAAGATGGATGGCAGATAAGTGGAATGTCTGACAGCTGGAAGGGGTGGGACTTAACCAAGGCCACATTATGTCCTGTCTCTGTACCACCTTCCGTGGTAGGAATTAAGACTTGGAAAAGAGCCATGAGAGGACTTGGGAATCTGACCTCTTCACTCTAGAATCCTCACTCTAGGGTAAATTTTTTTTCTTTAAAGATTTTAGTTATTATTTCAAGAGAGAGAGAACGTGCAAGCACGGGGAGGGGCAGAGGCAGAGGGAGAGAGAGAATCTTAAGCAGGCTCCACACTCATATCGTGGAGCCCCACTGGGGGCTCATTCTCACGATCCTGAGATCATGACCTGAGCCGAAATCAAGAATCGGAAACTTAACCGACTTAGCCATCCAGGTGCCCCTAGGGTAATTTTAAACCACTAACCCTGTTGTATCTACTTATTAGTGATATATGAAATTGTGAGACATTACCAAGAGAACTGAAATAGTCAAAAAAACATTTTCATACTTGGAACAAGTATAGAGTATATTAAAGTATCAGTTAGTCATTAGCAATAAGAGAAAATATCAACAAATCTGCTAATAACTCTTTATATCTAAAGTTTTTCTGTTTGTGTGTAAGACTTTAAAGAAACACCTGAGATTATAACCTTCATTAGTGAGTTTCTTATTTCTCACGAGGATTCCAGGATGTAATTTCTCCTAAATAAGAACAAACTAAATAAAACTTTTAGAACAGGATTAATAGACAAAGGATGATGTCATTTTTACTTACTTTTCCCTTCAATTTGATCCTTTTTCCCTTCCTCCAGACTTTTGAAGATAATATAAGAAAGAACAGGACTGTGATTAGTAACTGGATAAAATATGCACAATGGGAAGAGAGTCTAAAGGAGATTCAAAGGTAAAATTGCTGAGTCTATAATTTCAAATGTAAAGATGTCCTGAGTTAAGAGAGAGAAAAGTAGTAGAAAAAGTTAAAGCACAAGTGAAAGAGTGTCCCTTTGGTAGTAGTTTTCCAGGTTGTTCCGTGGGTTCCAGGTTGTTCCTAGGGTTCCCTTGAGGGGCCTCAGGGGCACTGCGGTAGGCGAGTCCTGGGGGAGCAGCAGGGGAGACACTACAGGTGGGTCTCATCTCCAGCGCACGCTACAGTCAGAGAAGCGCACTTTCATCTGCTTTCTCTGTATTGGGATTTTTTTTAAATAAAAATTGTTCACTGGAAACCAGTGACCGACAAGATAAAAGTCACAACCTGGCCCTTCCTGTTGCCCAGGCTTTCCGCATTTTCCCAGCATACCCACTGCCCCAGCTGTGCCCATGTGCCAGCCACTCCCCGAACACATTGTGTCTCCTTGCTCTACGCTAGGCTGTTCTCTCTGCCTGCAGTGAGCACTCTTCCCTACCCACCTTGGCCTCTGGAGTTTTCCTCAACTTCTTAACTCTGCAGTTACCTCCTACTTAGCCATTCGCATCAGACATTATTATTTGTTCCCTTTTGTTTCCTTGTGTAAACCTTGATTATAATGTTTACCATATTGTGGTGAAATTACATGTGTGTCTGTTTTTCTGTAAGAGTTTGTAAGGTTCCTGAAAACATGTCTTTTCACTTTCTTATGCCCAAAACCTGGCTCATGGTGGACACATGATAAAATAGCAGGGCACTGCAGATGGTTTGAGATAGTTGCCCCATGTGTTGTATATAAACTACTTTTGATGTTCTCCAAATCTGGCTTCTTAAGGGCTCGATCCATATACGAGCGTGCTTTAGATGTAGACTACCGAAATATTACACTCTGGCTGAAATATGCAGAAATGGAAATGAAGAATCGCCAGGTCAACCATGCCCGAAATATCTGGGACCGGGCCATAACAACTCTGCCTCGAGTCAACCAGTTCTGGTAAGTTTCTGATCTACCAAAAGCAGCTTTTTGTAGGCTAGAAAAGTTCTGCAGTCTTGTGTATTTATTTTATTCACATCGTTGCAATCACATGTATTTAATTTACATTCTACTTTTTCTTTAAACGTACTGTAAGTAGTTTTTAATATCCTGTAGTATATTAAGTCATAATCACTACATGTAATAGCTGTGTAATCAAAACTAAAATGTGGGTTGCAATCTTTTATGCATAAGAAACTTACTGTTGAACTAAGCAATTTTTAAGAAAAATGTATTTTTATTTGCTGTGGTTCATCCTTTCCAGATCTATATTTGATAAGAAAACATGTTCGATTTAAGCTTTAGGGAAGATAAAGCTCTAAGTCTTCATATTTAACAAAGTTAGAATTACAAAGTGCAAAAGATCATTTTTTTTCCCCTAAGTAACTTTGACCATGACAGATATTTGGGGATGATTTTGTTAAAGGTACAAGTACACATACATGGAGGAGATGTTGGGAAACATTGCTGGCGCCCGGCAGGTGTTTGAGCGCTGGATGGAATGGCAGCCTGAGGAGCAAGCCTGGCACTCTTACATCAACTTTGAGCTGCGATACAAAGAGGTGGACCGGGCCCGCACCATTTATGAACGCTATATCCTTTTTTTTTCTTCAAATTTTTATTTAAACTCTAGTTAGTTAAAATACAGTGCAATATTGGTTTCAGGAGTAGAATTCAGTGATTCATCACTTATATACAACACCCAGTGCTCAGCAAAACAAGTGCCTTCCTTAACACCCACTTATTTAGCCTTCCCTCACCCCCTCCCTCCATCAACCCTCAGTTTGTTCTCTTTTTTTTTATTATTATTATGTTATGATAGTCACCATACAGTACATCATTAGTTTTTGATGTAGTGTTCCATGATTCATTATTTGCGTATAACACCCAGTGCTCATTACAACACATGCACTCCTTAATACCCATCACTGGGCTAACTCATCCCTCCACCCCCCTCCCCTCTGAAACCCTCAGATTGTTTCCCGGAGTCCATAGTCTCTCATGGTTCATCTCCCCCCTCTGATTTCTCCCCCTTCAGTCTTCCCTTCCTTCCCCTAATGTCCTCCATGCTGTTCCTTATATTCCACATATGAGTGAAACCATATAATTGTCTTTCTCTGCTTGACTTATTTCACTTAGCATAATCCCCTCCAGTTCCATCCATGTCGATGCAAATGATGGGTATTCATCCTTGCTGATAGCTGAGTAATATTCCATTGTATATATGAACCACATCTTCTTTATCCGTTCATCTGTTGAAGGGCATCTTGGCTCCTTCCTCAGTTTGGCTATTCTGGACATTGCTGCTATGAACATTTGGGTGCATGTGCCCCTTCTTTTCACTACATCTGTATCTTTGGGGTAAATACCTAGCAGTGCAATTGCTGGGTCGTAGTGTAGCTCTATTTTTAGCTTCTTGAGGAACCTCCATACTGTTTTCCAAAGTGGCTGTACCAGCTTGCATTCCCACCAACAGTATAAGAGGGTTCCCCTTTCTCCACATCCTTACCAACATTTGTTGTTTCCTGCCTTGTTACTTTTTGCCATTCTAACTGGTGTAAGGTGGTATCTAAGTGTGGTTTTGATTTGAATTTCCCTGATGGCTAATGATGTTGAACACTTTTCCTGTGTCTGTTAGCCATTCGTATGTCTTCTTTGGAGAAGTGTCTGTTCATGTCTTCTGCCCATTTTTGACTTGATTATTTGTTTTTTGGGTGTTGAGTTTCAGAAGTTCTTTATGGATCTTGGATACCAGCCATTTATCTGTAATGTCATTTGCAAATATTTTCTCCCATTCCATGGGAGAAAAAGCTTTGCTGTGCAGAAGCTTTTTATCTTGATGAAGTCCCAAAAGTTCATTTTTGCTTTTGTTTCCCTTGCCTTTGGAGATGTGTCCTGAAAGAAGTTGCTGTGGCTGATGTTGAAGAGGTTACTTTCATCCACTTAGAGTTTATTTTTGTGTATGGTGTAAGAGAATGGTTGAGTTTGATTCTTCTGCATGTGGCTGTCCAATTTTCCCAGCACCATTTATTCCATTGGATATTTTTTCCTGATTTATCATAGTTGACCGTAGAGTTGAGGGTCCATTTCTGGAGGCTGTTCTGTTCCAGTGATCTACATGTCTGTTTTTGTGTCAATACCATGCTGTCTTGGTAATCACAACTTTGTAATATAGCATGAAATCAGGCAACGTGATGCCCCCAGCTTTGTTTTTCTTTCTGAACATATCCTTGGCGGTTTGGGGTCTTTTCTGGTTCCACACAAATTTTAGGATTGTTTGTTCCAGCTCTTTGGAAAATGCCAGTGGTATTTTGATAGGGTTGGCGTTGAAAGTATGGATTGCTCTGGGCAGCGTAGACATTTTAGCAATGTTTATTCTTCCAAATCCATGAGCATGGAATGTTTTTCCATCTTTTTTGTCGTCTTCAATTTCTTTCATAAGTGTTCTGTAGTTTCTAGAGTATAGATCCTTAACCTCTTTGGTTAGGTTTATTCCTAGGTATCTTATGGATTTTGGTGCTATTGTAAATGGAATCGATTCCCTAATTTCTCTTTCTACAGTTACATTGTTAGTGTATAGAAAAGCAGCTGATTTCTGTGCATTGATTTTGTATCCTGCCACATTACTGAATTGCTGTATGAGTTCTAGTAATTTGGAGGTGGAGTCTTTTGGGTTTTCCACATAATGTATCATGTCATCTGCGAAGAGAGTTTGACTTCTTTGCCACTTTGAGTACCTTTTCTTTCTTTTTGTTGTCTGATTGCTGTTGCTAGGACTTCTAGTACTATGCTGAACAGTAGTGGCGAGAGTGGGCATCCTTGTCGTGTTCCTGATCTTAAGGGAAAAGTTCTCAGCTTTTCCCCATTGAGAATTATATTCGCTGTGGGCTTTTCATAGATGGTTTTTATGATATTGAGGAATGTTATCACTATCCCTACACTCTGAAGAGTTTTAATCAGGAAAGAGTGCTGTATTTTGTCAAATGCTTTTTCTGCATCAATTGAGAGGATCATATGTTTCTTGTCTTTTATTAATGTTATCACATTATATTATTGCTATTATATTATTTATATTATTATATATTATATATGTGTTGTATTATATATATTATTTATATTATATATTTACATTATTTTATTATCACATTGGTTGATTTGCGAATGTTGAGCAACCCTTGCATCCCAGGAATAAATCCCACCTGATTGTGATGGATAATCCTTTTAATGTACTGTTGGATCCTGTTGGCTAGGATCTTGTTGATAATTTTGGCATCCATATTCATCAGGGATATTGGTCTGTAATTCTCCTTTTTGATGGGGTCTTTGCCTGGTTTTAGCATCAATGCTGGCCTCATAGAACGAGTTTAGAAGTTTTCCTCCTGTTTCTATTTTTTTTTTTTTAAAGATTTTATTTATTTATTTGACAGAGACAGAGATAGCGAGAGCAGGAACACCAGCAGCGGGAGTGGGAGAGGGAGAAGCAGGCTTCCCCTCAAGGAGGGAGCCCGATGTGGGACTCAATCCCAGGACCCTGGGATCATGACCTGAGCCGAAGGCAGACGCTTAACGACTGAGCCACCCAGGCCCCCGTGTTTCTATTTTTTTAAACAGCTTCAGGAGAATAAGTATTATTTTTTCTTTAAATGTTTGGTAGAATTCCCCTGGGAATCCATCTGGCCCTGGACTCTTATTTTTTGGGAGGTTTTTGATTACTGCTTCAATACTGGTTATCAGTGTATTCAGATTGTCAATTTCTTCCTGTTTCAGTCTTTGTAGTTTATAGGTTTCCAGGAAGGCATCCATTTCTTCCAGGTTACTTAATTTATTGGCATATAGTTATGATAATTTTTTTTTTTTTAAAGATTTTATTTATTTATTTGAGAGAGAGAGTGAGAGAGAGAAAGAGCACAAGAGGGGGGAGCGGGAGAGGGAGAAGCAGACTCTCTGCCGAGCAGGGAGCCCGATGCGGGACTCGATTCCGGGACTCCAGGATCATGACCTGAGCCGAAGGCAGTCGCTTAACCAACTGAGCCACCCAGGCGCCCCTAGTTATGATAATTTCTAATAATTGTTTCTATTTCCTTGGTGTTAGTAGTGATCTCTCCCCTTTCATTCATAATTTTATTAATTTGGGTCCTTTCTCTTTTCTTTTGGATAAGTCTGTTCAGAGGTTTATCAATCTTATTAATTCTTTCAAAGAACCAGCTTCTAGTTTCATTGATCTGCTCTACTGTATTTCTGGTTTCTACTTCATTGATCTCTGCTCTAATCTTTATTATTTCTCTTCTCCTGCTTGGTTTAGGTTTTATTTACTGTTCTTTCTCCAGTTCCTTTACGTGTAAGGTTAGCTTGTGCATTCAGGATTTTTCTACTTTTTTGAGTGAGGCTTGGATGGATATGTATTTCCCCCTTAGGACTGCCTTTATAGTATCCCATAGGTTTTAGACTGATGTGTTTTCGTTCTCATTGGTTTCCATGAATTGTTTAAGTTCCTCTTAATTTCCTGGTTGACCCAAACATTCTTTAGCAGGATGGTCTTGATAGCTTCCAAGTGTTTGAATTCCTTCCAGATTTTTTCTTGTGATTGAGGTCCAGTTTCAAAGCACTGTGGTCTGAAAGTATGCAGGGAGTAATCTCAGTCTTTTGGTATTGGTTGAGACCTGATTTGTGACCCAGTGTGTGGTCTATTCTGGAGAAAGTTCTGTGTGCATTCGAGAAGAATGAGTATTCTGTTGTTTTAGGGTGGAATGTTCTGTATATATCTATGAAGTCCATCTGGTCCAATGTGTCATTCAAAGATCTTGTTTCTTTGTTGATATTCTGCTTAGATCTGTCTGTTGCTGAGAGTGGAGTGTTGAGGTCTCCTACTATTAAAGTATTATTATCAATATGATTCTTATTTTGGTTAACGGTTGGCTTATGTAGTTGGCTGCTCCCATGTTGGGGGCATAGATATTTATAATTGTTAGATCTTCTTGTTGGATAGACCCTTTAAGAACAATATAGTGTCCCTCTGTATCTCTTACTACAGTCTTTAGCTTGAAATCTAATTTGTCTGATAAGAGAATTGCCACCCCAGCTTTCTTTTGAGGTCCATTGGCATGAAAAAATGGTTCTCCATCCCCTCACTTTCAGTCTGGATATATCTTTAGGTTCAGAATGAGTCTCTTTTAGACAGTATATGGATGGGTCCTGTCTTTTTATCCTGTCTGCGATCCTGTGCTGTTTCATGGGAGCATTTAGGCCGTACATGTTGAGAGTGACTATTGAAAGATATGATTTTAGTGCCATTATGTTGCCTGTAAAGTCCCTGTTTCTATAGATTGTATCTGTAAATTTCTGGTCTATATTACTCTTGGGATCTTTCTTCTTTTATAGAACCCCCTCCCTTAATATTTCTTGCAGGGCCGGCTTGGTGGTCACATATTCTTTCAGTTTCTGCCTGTCCTGGAAGCTCTTTGTCTCTCCATCCATTCTGAATGACAGCCTGGCTGGATAAAGTATCTTTGGCTGCATCTTCTTCTCATTTAGTACCCTGAATATGTTTGCCAGCCCTTTCTGGCTTGCCAGGTCCCTCTGGACTGGTCTGACGTTAATTCTGATGTTCCTCCCTCCATAAGTAAGAAATCTCTTCCATCTAGCTGCTTTCAGGATTGCTTCCTTTGTTCTAAGATTTGCGAATTGTGCTATTATATGTCGGAGCATTGATCTGTTCACCTTGATCTTGGGAGGGGTCCTCTCTGCCTCTTGGACATGAATGCTTGTTTCTTTCCCCAGATTAAGGAAGTTCTTAGCTACGATTTCCTCAGATATATCTTCTAGACCTCTCTCTCCACCCCCTCAGGGATCCCAATAATTTTAACATTGGAACATTTCATGGCGTCATTAATCTCTCTCAGTCTGATCTCTTGGGCTTTATGCTGTTTTTCCCAGGCCTCCTCAGTTTCCTTCTTTTCTGTCATCTTGTCTTCTGGCTCACTAATTTGTTCTTCTGCCTTGTTTACCCTGGCAGTCAGAGTATCCAGTTTAAACTGCATCTCATTCATAGCATTTTTAAGTTCAGCCTGATTAGATCTCATTTCTGCCTTTAGAGAGTCTATATTGTCACTAATATTTTTCTCAAGCCTAGGTATCAACTTCATAATTGTTACTCTGAAGTCTATTTCTGACATCTCGCTTATATCCATATCCATTAGATCTGTGGCAGAGGCCACAGTCTCTGATTCTTTTCTTTGTTGGGGGTTCCTCCTCTTAGTCATTCTGTTGAGGGATGTTTGAGGGAATGTACAAAGTTCAAAGTATTAACCACGACCCAAGTAAGTTGTACCTATTTTATAGGGGACCCCTAGGGTTGTTGTCCTCTTGTTCTTCCAGCCTGTCTTCTGGGGGAGGGTCCTGCCGCACTGTTACTCAGGCAACCCTGCTTGGCCCCCTGTTGGTGTGGGGGGAAGTGGCAGTGGGCCCAGCGAAAACCAGTTTTTCAAGCTTTTGTTCTCTGGCAGCTTTCCACGTCTCTTGGCGTCTCTTCCGAGAGAGCAGAAATGACTGCACCCAGACCTCTGTCCCAGAGCAGAGAAATGGTAGTCTGCTCTTCACTGAGCTCTCCAGGACACACAGTCTCTGTTTCTATCTGCACCGCTAAAAACCTCAGCTTCCCTGGTTGTGCGCCCCACAGCAACTCTCCCAGAGGTTGATCCCAAGGCCGGGCATGTCTCTGCCCTTTGTGCTACTAAAACCATGAGCTGCCCTGCACACCCGCAGCTCCTAGATCCTGTCTGGGGGCTGGACTAAAGTCCTTCCCTGGCACTACGGATCTGTGAGTCTTTGGTCCCCAGCGTGGGATGCTTTTGCGCTCTGGTGTTATATCACCTTCTCGGCGCCAGCTTATGGCGGCTCCTTCCCCCTTCTGTTTATCTTTCGATATCTGCCTGCAGAATCACGGCTCTGCCCTTCATACCTCAAGACCACCAGAGATTTTCTGCGTGTAGAGATCCAGATATATATTCTTAAATCTCAGGCTGATTTCGTTGGTGTTCAGAATGGTTCGGTAGATACCCAGCTAAATTCAGGGGACCAGTTGAAATAGGGTCCCCTACTCCTCTGCCATCTTCCATGCTCCCCCCGAACGCTGTATCCTTTGAGTGAGTCTGAGTGGTGCTGTTACTGTCCAGGGTGCTACTCCGCCCGGGGCAGTAGAGTCATGGTCTGGACATACGGATCCTCATCAACATAGGCCCGGAAGTCAAAGATACAAGTTTCATCTGCTTCATGAGCTACATAACTATTTTCTAGAGACACAGTGTGGTCAAAATAGAAGTTTGTGGTCTGGGTAATTGAGCTTTTTTTGGCAAAACTTTGGGTTTGTATATATTTTGGCGTTCCCTTGTGGAAAGTGACATACCAGGGCTTTGGTTGCTGTAGCCAGTCCTGTTTGTCCGGGGGTTTTTTCCTAGGTTTTTCTAGGGTGTTGGTCATTAGTACCACTACTGGAGTCCATCCAAAGGATGGAGACAGGAGGACAACATAGTGTAGCCCAACAAGCTCTGGCTCCAGGGCCAGTTGGATGGGTGTGAGTCCCTTCTCTGGCACGTGTTAGGGGGGTGGCCTCAGGTCACTTCACGCTTCTGAACCTTATTTATTCCTTTATAAAACAAAATCGAATCTACCAAGAGGAGTTGTTTTCAGGATTTAAGATTGTAATCTATATGAGGGCTGTGTGTATGTGTGTATACACCTATTTCCCTTAGGGAGAATTATTTGGTATTTGCTAATTAAGTGACTTCATAGAACATAACTACCCAGAAAAACAAGCATCAACTTTATTTATTTTTTTAAAGATTTTATTTATTTATTTGAGAGAGTGAGAGCATGAGAGGAGAGAGGGTCAGAGGGAGAAGCAGACTCCCTGCTGAGCAGGGAACCCAATGTGAGACTCGATCCTGGGACTCCGGGATCATGACCTGAGTCGAAGGCAGTTGCTTAACCAACTGAGCCACCCAGGCGCCCAAGCATCAACTTTATTATACAGTTTTAAGGTCTCTATGACCTCTGCCCTGTTTTAATATGATTAGTTTAACAGAAGCTTTTATAGCGCTTATTTCATGTCAGGCATTATTGTAAGCACTTTACAAATATCAACACTTAATCCTTGGACAGCCCTGCAGTGCGAGAACTACTCCAGTCTGTGGGGTGTGAGATGCAGGCACAGCTGACAGGCAGCGTGGCCGGGGTCTCTCCAGGAGTGACGGAGATGGGCCTTGAACCCAGCTGCAGCTTCAGAGCCTATGCCCTTAATTTCATTGCCATTTTTTAACGTATTACTACTTTGGAATTAATGAGTTTCCCAAGTGAGGTAGATGAAAAATAGATTTCATCTGTTAAGAAATAAAATGGTAATTCAAAACTTTTTTCAATGTCAACTATATTTCAATAAAAAGAGAAAAACCCTAAAAAAACCTCTTTCTTCTGCCTCTAGTTAGCAGTTTTATTTTTGTAACATTTTTTTTCTTAATCGTTAATTCCAATACTAATGTTATTGAGCATATAATACGTAGGTGCCATTTATTGAGCACATTCCTTTGGCCCCAAACTGCTAAGAGCTTTACACACATTTCCTCCTTTCAAGCCACTGTGGTTGGGTTCGGGTTCTTTTTTTGTATTTACAGATGACAAAACTGAGTCCTAGACAAGTTAAACCATGCAGGATGGCATGGTTAATAACAGGCTTCAGCTTCTTCATTTCTCCAAACCCCCATTTGTACCCACTATGGAAATACTGAGTAAGCCCTGGAGGAAGACAGATGAACAAGATGAGGCCCCCTTCAGAGGTCACAGTTTAGTGGTTCTTCGCCTTTGCACGTGTTTTATCAACCTTATAGTCATAGTTTGTGTGGTTGGGGGGTTGGGTTTGTTTTTTGTTTGATTTTTTTTAAGCCTTGTTGTCTGGCGGGATATTTCCTTAATTCCTGTGAACTTGTCCTCGTGCACCCTGATGTTAAGAACTGGATCAAGTATGCCCGCTTTGAAGAAAAACATGGTTATTTTGCCCACGCACGGAAAGTGTACGAGAGAGCTGTTGAATTCTTTGGAGATGAGCATATGGATGAACACCTTTATGTTGCCTTTGCCAAATTTGAAGAAAATCAAAAAGAAGTAAGTACACTTGAAGAACTCATTTACATTGCATAACAGTTTAGGAAAGATTACTTGTTGTGCACGTTGAGTTCATTCCATTTTATATTCACTTATCCTTGGAAAAAATGTTTCCAAAATCTCTCAAAGATAACAGCATACATTTGTGTCTTAGCTGCAGACTGGGCACTGAGTGATTATAGATTGTACTAAAGTGTCCTAATTGTGTTGTGCTTTGCTTGAAAATTAAGCCTTTATAGATATATATATAGAATATTGTGTGTAAACTGAGAGTTCGTCATTTGCTCTCCTCATTAAAGGGTTTTATGGGTAATAAACTTGGAAAACAAAAATGGCAGGGCTCTTTGAAGTAGTGAAGGTGGGGGATGAGGACAGGAGAGGAATCAAGGAGAACTCCTGGAGTTTGGGGCTTGAGCAAGGGCATGGCGGTAGGTGTTGCTTACCAAGACCGGGAAGACAGACCCAGGTTTGATGGTGAGGAACAGGAGGTCAGTTCTGGGCCTGTTTAGTCTGAGATGCACAGATGACACCCAACTGGCAGAGTCAGGTAGACACTATTAAGTATGGAGCTCAAAGGAGAGTGTCAGTACACCCTGACAAATACCTCAACAAGGGGGGAGAAGAAAAGTCTTACTTTGGAGTAGTATATGATGTCATAATTACCTTCCATGTTGTGGCTCACGTGAGAGTATTGTGTTGTAGAAGTAATCCTCCTGTCTGCTTTTAGTTTGAAAGGGTACGAGTGATCTACAAGTATGCCCTGGATAGAATTTCAAAGCAGGAGGCCCAAGAACTCTTTAAAAACTATACCATCTTTGAGAAGAAGTTCGGTGATCGACGGGGTATTGAAGACATCATTGTGAGCAAACGAAGATTCCAGTATGAGGAAGAGGTGAAGGTGAGTGCTGGTGTAGACGCCGAACCCTGCGGGTGACAGAGATGTGCCGACCAGCAGCAGCTCAGGTGAAGTGAAGAATAGCAGGCGGGGGCTTCCAGGGATCACGCTCTTGCTGACGCGTCTGCAGTGATTGGCAGCCATTCCAGCAGCAGTCTGCAGGGCTCATAGGAGAGGGCAGCAAGAAGCACTTGGGTTTGCTCTGCCACCCACATGTTGAAAGTCACCGTGTTGGTTGCTGCTGGTGTGCCATAGAACTTGAGCAAAAACCAGGAATCCATGTGAACTCCTTTCTGAAGATGGAAGAGGCAGAGATTGAACCAGTTTTTCTACACTACCGTTTAGCTTAACTGCTTGAACAAAACATATATTGTAGATGTGTTTTCATTCTCATCTCTTTATTTGTAATGTACTGTTTTGATTTGAGTCAAAGATAGTAACATTTTCCTTTACTGGTCTGCTGTGCATCTAAAAACTTTTGCTGAGTCAGATGAATTAGGATATCACTAAAGGACTGAGTCTGGTGTTAAATGAAGTCAGCAAGATATATTCAAGATAAATGACTATTAATTGAGAAGGCAGGTTTCACATTTGTGACCATGGTTCTGATTGCACTGTAATTTTATTATTTTTTTAATTTTTTCTTTTTTTTAATTTAAATTCAATTAGGCAACATGTAATAATACATCATTAGTTTTTCATGTAATACATCATTAGTTTTTGATGTAATGTTCAATGATGCATTAGTTGCGATGTCACATCATGTGCCCTCAATGCCCATCATCCACTGTAATTTTAAATCTAGACATAATAATACGCAGTCAGGTATATAAACAAATACATTTATAAAAGTAGGTGTCTAATTATTGAGTAATTATCTTAGGGGGTGGTGGTTGTATATGAAAGCAGCCTTGCTGTGGGACACCTGGCAAATAATCTGTCCCCTATGTTCCTTTTTCTTTCCTATTTATGAAAGCTCAGGAATAGTATTTTTTTAAGATTTTATTTATTTGAGAGAGAGTGTGAACATGAGTGGGGGCAGAGGGAGAAGCAGACTCCCTGCTGACCAGGGAGTCCGATGCAGGATTCATCCCAGGATCCTGAGATCATGACCTGAGCTGAAGGCAGACACTTAACTGACTGAGCCACCCAGGTGCCCCAGGAATGGTATTTTTAAATGAGATAGGTGCTAAACAGTTGCTAAAATACAGGAAGTCAATCTAGTGTCTTTTTTTAACCTCACAGAGTCCAGCAAGTATAGCTCTTGGTTTGGTTTTTATTCATTAAACTTGTGGTCTTTCTAGGCTAATCCACACAATTATGATGCGTGGTTTGATTATTTGCGCTTGGTGGAAAGTGATGCAGAAGCAGAAACCGTTCGAGAAGTCTATGAAAGAGCCATTGCCAATGTGCCACCCATTCAAGAGAAGCGGCACTGGAAGCGCTACATCTATCTGTGGGTCAACTATGCACTCTATGAAGAATTGGAGGCCAAGGTAAAAAATGGAATTATGCCTCGGCTATTGATAGCTGCCCCCTCCCTGGCTGCCTCACCCCTGTGCGTACACCTCGGCCATCGTGGCTAGCGGTGGGTACTGACATGTACAATCCCGGAAACAGGAATCTCGTTTTAAATTCTCAGCCATACAGTTACATAGTCTCTCTGCAGCCTTTTAAACTCTGTATACCTGTCCTGGGCCCAGGTGAGGTGTTTTGGTTTTGTTGCATTTTGTGTTTCAAACCTGAGGCACCACATTATCACTTGGAACTTGGAAGGAACAATGAAGCAGTCTTTAGCTTATTTTGTATCATTTTCTGGGCTGCCTCCTAAGTAGGGATCACAGCTAGATGACACGTCTTTGCTTCTAGTAAAAGATCAAGTGGGATTTTCAGAAATCAGGTGTGTATAAATTAATTGGGAGAGACTAGCTTTGTGCTGTTGATCTGAGACTATAAAACATCTCTTTCTGCTATCAGGCGAAAAGCCTTTCCACAGACAAGCTCTCAAAGATTGATGGTTATCTCGGTGATTCTTTAACCAAAGTTTGAGGGCCACAGGTAGTTCACATTTGATCATAAATGATGAAATCAGGGTTTGAGAATAGCACCCTGTGAAAACACTCTGGGTGGGGGTGTACGTTTTTACTAGTGCTAGCAAAACTAACATTAGTAACAGACTTCCAATAGTCGGTGAAAATTTCTTATCCTAATACAGGATCCTGAGAGGACGAGACAGGTGTATCAAGCTTCTTTGGAATTAATTCCTCATAAAAAGGTATGTTTGCTCTAAATGTTCTGTTCCAAAGTTTCAAAATCCTGTTTCTGTTACTTGTGAAATAATACTTACTGTTTGAATAGTTTGCTGTGCGGGGCACCCTGAAAACTTAGGTTTCAAAAGTATGCTCTTTGTCTCTAAAAACACTTTACAGTCTGGTTGAGAGGACAGCCTGCATTGACAAATGAATAATATAGAAAATGTAGAAATTCAGAAGAGGGTGGGTAACTGGAATGACCGAGTGGAAGGAGGAAGACACACATCCAGAGAGCACACAGCATCTGCAGGAAACAACGAACAGGTGTTTGTTGGCATCAGAGCATACATAAGTGTGCATGGGTGAACACTGGCATGCGAGTTCTAGAAATGGTTGAGACATTATCTCTGCCCTATTTCCCATCATGAGAAACAAGTAGAGATGTTGACCGAACTACCTTCTAGAATAGAGATGGCATGTTCTGCCTGCTCACAAGCATACCCAGAAAACAAAGCCAATTCCCAGTAGGGGCAGCAGGGCCATGCACTACGATAAAGTATTTGGATTACTGTAACTTTTGTGAAATAAACAACATCATATTTGCTTAAAAACAAGAAAATACATCTGTCCTAGCTCTGAATATTTAGGGAAATCTAATTGCATGTGGCCTCTTACTAAATTTTTAACTTCAGTGTAATTGAAACGACTCTTTTAGATGTTTTTTGTGCTTTCGTTTTCTAGTTCACATTTGCCAAGATGTGGTTACTATATGCACAATTTGAAATAAGACAGAAAAATTTACCATTTGCCAGAAGAGCTTTGGTAAGTAAAGAAAGGATCAAGGGGCACCTGGGTGGCTCAATCAGTTGAGCATCTGACTCTTATTTTGGCTCAGGTCATGATCTCAGGGTTCTGAGATCCAGCCCTGCACTGGGCTCTGTGCTCAGCACAGAGTCTGCTTGGGATTCTCTGCCTCTGCCTCCCTCCCTGTGCTCGCATGCATGCTTGTGTGTGCGCACGCGCTCTGTCTCTCTCAAATAAAATCTTGAAAAAAAGGGGAAGGATCAAGATGCATCACTGACTTCTTTGAGAAGGAAATTAAATCTTAGTGCTTACAAGTTGGACAGTTCCTACTAAGAATGCAACAGAAGTATTCTGCCTTTATAACCTGAGATGTGTCAGAAGATGCATGGCCTTTTGAAGAAAGATCAGGTGAGGGGCTCCTGGGTGGCTCAGTCGTTGGGCGTCTGCCTTCGGCTCAGGTCATGATCCCAGGGTCCTGGGATCGAGCCCCGCATCGGGCTCCCTGCTTGGTGGAGAGCCTGCTTCTCCCTCTACCACTCCCCCTGCTTGTGTTCCCTCTCTCGCTCACTCTCTCTCTCCGTCAAATAAATAAATAAAATCTTAAAAAAAAAAAAAATCAGGTGATAATGTTTAAATTACTCTTTTTTAACATTGGAAGCTTTATCTGTAGCTGCCAGTTACCAGATCTTTTCTCAGACTGGAAAGATCTGACGTTAGATCACATTAGATCTTAAATCAGCTCTTGAGTAGACTCATCTTGTGCAAAACCAGGGGGTATTACATGCACCTTCCTCTTAACAGCTGTTCTAAAGTCTCTTAATAAGATCAAATGCTGTTTAAATGCAGGTGTCCTTCTGTAAGCCACTCTTGCCCTGGCTTTGGGCAGCGAGGCAGCTTTCATTCTGTGGTTACCACTTTACTTAAAGGAGGTTTCATCCATCTGACATCCGTATTCCCTAGGCGCTCCTGAGAAACTTAATTAAAATCCAGAATACTTGTGCAGACAGTTCAGCAGCCCTCTCTTGCTGAACAGGCACCAGTGGGCATAGGCCCTCTTGACCCCTAGGTGAAGTAGAGGATTTCCATTGGCCTTCTGTCAAACACCAGTGTGGACAATGTGATACCAGAGAGGGTTCTTCCTCAGCAGAGAAGAGTTGCTGGGGTAGGTCAGTGATATCTGTACAGAGGTTGAACCCACATATCACAGTGGTTTGGTCATTTTATTTTCCAGGGAACTTCCATAGGCAAATGTCCAAAGAACAAGTTATTTAAAGGTTACATAGAATTGGAGCTGCAGCTTCGAGAATTTGACAGATGCCGGAAGCTTTATGAAAAGTTCTTGGAATTTGGACCTGAAAATTGTACCTCCTGGATTAAATTTGCAGAATTAGAAACAATCCTTGGTGATATTGAGAGAGCCCGGGCAATCTATGAGTTAGCCATCAGTCAGCCACGCTTAGACATGCCAGAGGTGAGAATCTCGAGATGAATATGATTTTGTTTTAGATATTGCCCTAGTACTGCTTTAGATGACCGTCTACATGTTGTGCACTTTAGAGTATAAAGATAAACTCACTTGCAGTCTTGTCTACTCCAGATTAGTACTTTACTGTTGAGGGGATAGAAGAAGGATGGGAGTGGGAGAAGCAGCCCTCTAGTAGGATACCAGAGTCCAGCAAAGCCCCATGATGACACCAGAATGAGTTGGGATATAATGGGGCAGGTGACTGGCTCTCTTCCTCCCTTCTTCAAATAGAAGGCTAACTAAAGGGGATGGGACAGGGACGGCCAGGCAAGGAAATACGCAGCAGGCAGCTCTGGAGAATAGGGCAGATGAAGGTTGAGACTGCACATCCAAGGATTCTCCTGGCACAGTTTTTCCCAGATTGGGTCAGCAAAAGAAGCTCTATCTAAACCAGGATATTTCTGAAATTAAACTACTGCCACCATCCTCGCCTGTCCCTTCCCTATTTAAACTTAAGCCACAAGGTGGCGCCAAGCCACAACTAGGACCTGTTTGAGAGCCACTGAACTCACCCACCTTTTTGTGAGTCTTGCCCTAATGTGACTCTGCATTTTATGCCTTGGGTCCCACCGGCTGAATTAGGGCAGGTCTTTATGTATTATGGTTCTGTCAGTTGGCCTCAGCTCCCAGGCGTCCGGGCCACATGTTACTCCATCCTTGTCCCCTGACAGGCAGTACCTAGTAGGTGCACTGCTGTTTACTGAATAGTTGTTGAGGTGAACTCAAAGCTATCAAGGAATTTACAGTGGAGGTAAGAAGAGTAAATCCTGGCTAATCAAGCCATGTTTTCTCCCGGCAATGTCAGTTGTATGTGACAGGATCATGGCAGTGTCTGGGAGACTTGGCAAGTCTCTGAGCTTTTCTTGATAAGTCCAGCATTTGAAAAACTCTGAAAGAGAATCCAAAAATGAATCCAAAGCCTTTTATCTAATAATACAGAATGGTAGCCAAGTTTTGGCCAGCTTGTAAATGCCACTGTTTTTATTGTGTCCAGATGCTACCTGTTCTTTAATTGTTCATAGAAGTCCTAGGTTCCTGGATGTCCTAGGTTGGAATGGTCGTTAAGCTGATAGGGACATGTTGCTCTTTAAATGTCAAGGCTGACTTATTAAGTTCTTCCTTAGGTGCTTTGGAAGTCATATATTGATTTTGAAATTGAGCAGGAAGAAACTGAGAGAACACGAAATCTTTACCGAAGATTGCTTCAGCGGACACAACATGTCAAGGTATCCTGCATTCTGTTGATTATCTTTGATTTTGCCTAAATCAGCAGTTCTGAAGGAAATATCGTATTTCTGTATTTTAAGTGTATCAGGTTTTTTGTTGTTGTTTTTTTTTTTTTTTTTTAGTGCTTTTCTTGCTTTTAGAAAGAGCCCATGAGTCTCAGAGGACTTTGGAATATAAAGCTTATACCAGGTCAATATTTATACTGCATGGGACTAACTTGAATATCACAGGATTGAATAAAAAGTTAAACTCTTTTCAGGATTTTAAGACCATGTCAAACACCTAATTGGATATAGAAGCAGACTGCTTCAACATTATTGAAGCATATAATCAATATGTTCTTTGAATACTACAGATGAATACATTAGTATGTTCAGATGTCATTAACTAGAAATTAGCATTATTACATGATCGTTTTCTGGATGACATGGTTAATTTGCTTCTATAATAATTTTTCATAAGGTATGGATCAGCTTTGCACAGTTTGAGCTGTCTTCAGGGAAAGAAGGAAGTTTGGCTAAATGCAGACAAATTTATGAAGAGGCTAACAAAACCATGAGGAACTGTGAAGAAAAGGAAGAGAGACTTATGTTGCTGGAATCCTGGCGAAGCTTTGAAGATGAATTTGGAACAGTATCAGATAAGGAGAGAGTAGACAAACTCATGCCAGAGAAAGTCAAGAAGAGAAGAAAGGTCCAGGCTGATGACGGGGTAAGAACTGAGCCTGTGGAGCTGGTCATCTCATGTCAGATGAGCAGAAATGCATCTGACTTTGAAATTTGTACTTCTAAGTGCCGTATGTACAATCTGAGCATGGGAGCAGACAGCCTGGAGTAGGAGACCATTGCAGCCTGGCTACCATGGAAACACAGCTATAGGAAGGTTCTTATGCACAAAACAACATGACCCAGGGGCTGGCTTACATTGGAGGAAGATCTGTTGGGAAGCTGTTATAAGCAGAGCAAGTGATGGTGGAAGCTGGAACTAGAGCAGTGTGTAGGAAGCCACATCAGTGACCAGTCTGAGGTGGGGCTGTAAGGGCAGGGAGTCAGAATAGTAGTGCACAGATTGACGGCTTTCGAACTGAGTATGATGTAAGTCTTTAAAATTAATTTATTTAAATTTATCAGAGAGAGAGAATGAGCACAAGAAGAGGGAGTGGCAGGCAGAGGGTGAAGCAGGCTCCCCACTGAGCAAGGAGCCTGACTTGGGACTCCATCCTGGGACCCTAGGATCATGACCTGAGCTGAGGGCAGCCGCTTAACCAGCCAACCCACCCAACCCGTCCCAGTCTTTAAAAATTTAAAATCTTAGAAAACTACAAGATGGAAAAAAAAAAAAAAGAGTATCTTGGTTGAGTATAGAGGAGCTGTGCTTTAATTTTTAGGATCTTTTTCCACTGGTTTTTAGCTCTCCGTGAGCTGGTCGACTTGCAGCAACACCAACCCCAACAGCTACTTCTTTTTTTTAGTTCAATTAATCAACATAACATTTACATAAGTATTGTTAATTTCAGAGGTAGAGTTCAGTGATTTATCAGTCTTATATAACACGCAGTGCTCATTACACCCTGTGCCCTTGTTAATGTGCATCACCTGGTTACCCCACAGCTACTTGTTCACCCAATCTTGCAGGCCCAGCCCTTGTTCTTTCTGTAATGGGCTTTGGTGGTGTTTTGTAAATGAACATAAGTTGAATTTGAACACTCCAGGGTTTTGCAGTGAAAATTCTCCACTTTAAAGTAACTGCAGTGTATTTCAGCCACATGTTGGCTTATCTTTTGTTTTACTTTTTTTCCATAGTCTGATGCAGGGTGGGAAGAGTACTATGATTACATCTTTCCAGAAGATGCTGCCAACCAACCCAACCTCAAGCTTCTGGCCATGGCCAAACTTTGGAAGAAACAGCAACAGGAAAAGGAGGCTGCAGAGCAAGACCCAGATAAGGACATTGATGAAAGTGAATCCTGATGCTCTTGTTCATATTGATAAGTGTTTTATTATTTTTATAAATTAACCATTCGGAACTCTTGTGACTCCGTAAGTTTTTGTATATTTCACCAGTAAGGAATTGGAGTCTTTGATAGCTATTTTTTGAATTATTTTTAAAATGTTCTTGGGTTAGTGAGGGGTGGGGGGTTGCAAGAAAATTTTTTGAACCATTAGTTTCCTTTATCGGAGTCCAAACATTTTTTTGTCCATATCATGCATTAGGAAATCTAATTGAGGTAATGCTTTCAACTATTTTAGATGGACCTGCACTTTTCAAAGTGTTTTTCTAGAAGTGTTCAAGTTACATTCTACAGTAACTTTTAAAGTTTTTTTTATGCTTGTCTTCTTCATAAAGATATTTAGTGCACTCACCTGAAATCTCTAACTTCTTCACATCTTCAGTCACACAGACTCGAGTTCCATTCCCAGCTGCCACTTAGTAATCTATAACTTAATCTTTTAGTTTCTTCTCTCATAAAATGGCCGTCTGCCAACTCATTTTGAAGATTAGAAAAAGAATATACCTGGCACATCGTGACTGCTCAATAAAATGTTCATTCCCAGCCACTTTCCTAAACATGTTCATCCTTGTAGAATTGAATGTGCTTGGATTAATTTAACTTCTAAATACCCGTACTTTCTTAACAGTGGCCATTGGTACTACATGCTTTTGAAAACACCAGTTGGGAAATAATTGATAGTATTTCCGACCAAGGTCTTTTTGTTACCAAGATGTTTTAGTCAAATTTCATGCTGTAATCAGTTTCCCCCACTGATTGAGCTCTGTAATGGCTTAAAGAATAGTAACACATGTGCTGTGAAAAACAGTGCCCCCTGCTCCAGTAAATTTAGGAAACCCCAGGTTAAGGTTGAGCCTTGTTAATCAACTCTCTTTACAGTTCAGCTTCTCAGAGCCTTGGATACGTTACTGTACATGATGAACCCCAATAGCAATGCTGGCGTGTTTCCCAACCTTACTGGACGAGGGAATCATTTCTACCTGTAGTACCAATAAACATCCCCTAGTGTGTTACAGCAGAAGGTAGCTACTGTAATCCAGGATACATTTAACTTAGGCTTGGTTTAGAACACGTGAAAAACACCAAAGGTAACCAACTGTAATGCCAAAAAAGAAAACTTAAAGTAGCACAGAGATATTAACACATTTGTTGAAGCACTGCTCATATCCTCAAGCAAAAAATATTTGCCTTAATTAACTGATCTGATTATTTTCTTTAATCTGGCCTGATTTCTCAGGCCTATTTTTTTGTTTTGTTCACTGCCCAAGTTATTTGACTCGAACTGTCATCTTCAAGAGTATTTTTTCACCTGGGAGGGCAACTAGCAACTTTATTATTTGCAGATTTAATTGGGTAAGGCTTACTAAATGTACAAAAATGTTAAAGAATAAAAAAAGCTAGTCAGTATGGTACTGAATTGTATCTTGAAAGTAAGCTAGTGTTTGAGGGCAGAGGCGGCTAAGACGGCCAGGATCAAAGGCACACCTGTGTTCAGCCTCAGTGCTTCCAGCTCTGGACCAGTGTCACCCAGCTGCTGGGTGTCACGTGGGTCCTGACTATGGAGTACTGAGGTCTGGTTAGCCAGGAGGAACATTTCTGATTTTAATACCCTTTAGCTAAGTACAGAGTCAAGGAGTGAGATGAAAGCAGGTCAAAATGCTAATTAAGTGACTTATCAGAGTCTTCTATAATTCTGTCCGGTTTATGCTGCATAAGAACAAAAATTAATAGTCAGGTTCCCAATGTAAACTCCTACCGCCACTTTCTGGCTGGTGCCAGCATGAAATGCGTGAAGGAAAAAGTTTACCTTCTCATGGGAGAACATGAAAGATGTCTCTCACCTTCAACTCCACCAGGGTAAGTCCTTTAAGAGGCAAAAGCTTTTTAGTAATCGTTTCTGTGGGGTTTTCTTTAGCCACTTCTTTTACTCACTGGATATTTTCAGGTATTACAAGTAAAGAAAACTAAACATGAAACTACATGGGTCGCCCACAACCTAGTTTTATGGCCTTTCTTTTGGAATTAGGTTTTTTCCCCTTTAAAGAAACCTCAGTGTCTTTTTATATTTTCAAAGGCAGGATTTAAGCAAAGTAGTGTGAGATTAGACAAGGAAAAGATCTGGGACTTAACAGTATGTAAACAAGTATCTGGGAAGAATTTACTATGCAATAAGAAGGATGCCTAAATATTGCTGGGCAGGGGCTGTTTCAAGCATGTATTTTAAAAATGCTTTCTACGTAAGCCAAACAAGAGAAACATCATATCCTAAATGGTGGCTCTTCTCAATCCTGATGTAATTTTATAAATGACCAACAAGCTTCCAGAACACATTCATAGTCTACAGTGCATTTTATTATACATCTTAGATTTATACATTTCATATATGCTTTTAAAGCTTCAATTAACAGTTCGATACAAAATAAAAAATATGTATGTAGCAGTGGTTCTCAGGCACAGAATTTAGGAGGAGACTGGAGCAAGTTTTTTCCCTAGCATATAGTAAATATTATGAAACAAAATAGTGGAATGTTTCCATCTGACCCAGCTGCCTTTTTGACTGAATTTTATTACAGTGAACAGCTTTAGTAGGTAGGATATTGCTAACTGGAAACAATGAGACTCAAGTCTATAACCTGTATTTTCTTGAAGTCTGTGAGACCTAAATGATTACTTTTCTCCTAATAGAGCTCCAAGATCATCCAATGAAAATAATATTGTCCATAAAATATCTGGAGCATCAGCCTAAGAACCACTGCCCATGGTTATTCAATGTCTTCAGGCCTCACAGGATGAGGTAATGGTATGATGGATTTCTTCTCAGTGTCTCTGGAAAGTGCTTTCCTCATATCTGTTAGGAAGCAAAATTTAATGTAAGTACCCAAATACCAAAATACCTTATGTCAAAGTGTGTATGTAAAGTTCTCATAAGAGGTTTGTCCCCTACCCCATTTCCTAGGTCCTCAGAGACAAATGTTTTTAAGTGAGACTCCCAGTCACCAGTACTCAGCTCTTCATACCAATGTTCTTTTGACAAACTCTTAGTAAAATTAACATGCCGGTAACATAATAAAATGACTGATAGCAATTAACCATTGGTTAATGTAATTTAACCATTGATAGGTTCATAAAGGCAGGTTAAAGGAGATTTAAATATTATAGCTCAAATTTAAAATATTAAGTCCAACAAATACTATGATTCTTTTCCATTTGTTAAAATGACTAGTGTGTAGAATGAATGTAAGTGTTTTGGCTTCTCTTGGGGGAGACTGCCACAGAAGGGAGCTCACCATAGGCATCCTCGTCGGGCTCTCCGTTGCTGGCCGAGTAGTACTCTATGACCGTCCTGTACACACTGTAGCCCAACTGCTTGTACATGTTGACTGCAACTTGGTTAGATACTCTTACAAAGAGATCGACAAAAAATCCACCCTTTCTTTAAGGAAAAAAAAAGGGGAAATGTCAGTTACATATTTTTAAAAACACTTGTTTTTAGTTGGCTTTGACTACTCTTCAAAGAATGGTAATAATAGGACTTTGCAGCTGATTACCTCATATCCATTTTTATTACTGAGGATTTATGACAATTATTTTGAGGTACAAAGAGATGATTTTCTCTTAGCATACTAACATTTTAAAACCTGTATTTTCTTTAAAAGATAAACTTTTAAAACATTTTTTTAAACCATAATTGTCTTGTGTATTTTATATCACTGTAAATGACATGCTCATTTTATCAACTAGTGATACAATATTTTCACCTATACGTGCAAATTAAAGATTTTGAGCAATAACAGGCACCTGTGTGCCCATGGCCCACGCGTAACGACAGGATACGGGCTGCCTGACACTGGCAGCCCTGAAGCCCTCAGGTCTCTCTGGGCATTGACAGCCATCCCCTTTACCCAGAGGTCTCCAAGTCTTGACTCTTACTCTCATTTGCTCCTTGGTTTTTGCTGTAGATTCACCACCTAGTACAGTTTTTCCTATTTATGAACTTTATATAAATACTATCGTACTTTGTATATCATTTGGTGATTTGCCCCCCTCAGTAATGTGCAAGTCAGCCTGGTGTAGCTGGATCTTGTTCATCTTCCCTTTGTTTAGCATTCCATTGTATGGATGGATATACTGTAAGTTGTCCATGGTTCCACAGATAAACATGTCGGGATTCTACTATTATAGACTATGCTGCTATGAATATTTTTATTGTATGTCTCATGGTACAATATCTAAGGTCTACAACTAGGAGTGTGATCACTGGCTCATAGGGGCATCTTCAGCTTTTTTAGGTAATACCCATTTCCCAGTCTGCTCACACTCCCCCGAGGAGGGTAAGACTCCATTCCCACAGTGACAAAGGCTTGGTGCATCAGACATTTTTATTTTTGAAAATCTCATAAAAGTATCTCCGGGTAATTTTAATTGGCATTTCTTATTACTAATGAGGCTAAATATATTTTTGTAGGCCAATTAGATTTCTCATTTTTTAGTCCTTATTGGTCTTTTACACATTTTTTTTTCCTCTTCCCAACTGTGGTTCTCTATGTATTCTGGATAGTTGACATTATGTAAAGGATTGTTGCAAATCTTTTCCCAGTTTGTGGCTTGACTTATCCTCATGTAACTTTTGATAAACAAAGTTACTTCAGTGAAGATGCATATGAGCCTCTCCTTTACAGTCAGACTTTTTATAGCTTATTTAAGAAGTTCTTTTCTACCCTGAGGTCATGGGTTACTTAAAAGGGCTTTTGAGTTTTGCTTTTCACATCTAGGTTTTTAATAAATCTGGAACTGATCTGTGTATGGTAAGGTAGTAATCTGGGAAGTTTTTTTTCCCACATGGATATCCAGTTGTGCCACCGTCCCTACTGAAGAGAGTGTCCCTTCACTGCTGCTCTGCAGCTGCCTCCTCTGGAGTGTGTCAAAATCCACGTATCCCTGCATCTGTTCCTCGATTCTGTTCCACTGGTCTGGACAAGTACGCCAGCAGTGACACAGAGCTCGCTCATTACTGCTTGATATCTGGAGGGGCAAACCTGCCCATTTTGTTGTTGTTCAAACGATCTTATCTCCTTCCATTCCCCTGTAAGCGTCAGAATCAATTTAACAAGTCTCACAAAAAAGACTGGCGATGTTGATTGCAATTACATTGGCTCCATGGATCAAACACCAGTTTAGCCCTCCATGCCACTGACCTAGTTCTCTCTCCACTAAGATAGGTCATCTTTTCTGTCTCTCAGGGAAGTGTTGGAAACTTCAGTGAAGTCTCACACAGCTTTTGTTAGATTTTTCTCAAAGGGCTTAAGGTATTTTGATGCCACTGTAATTGGCATCTTTTCCTAAATTTTACTGTTTGTATAGAAATTGAAATTAAATTTTATACTGACTGTCCAACTCTGCTTAACTTTTATTCTAAACATTTATTTATAGCTTCTTGTGGTTTTGTTTGTACAATCTTATGTGTACAAAGAGTTTTGTTTCTTCTCAGTCCTTGTATCTTATTTTTCTTGCTGTACTGTGCTGTCTAGGATTTCCAGTAAATTACTGAAGATGGGCTGACTGTAGGCATCCTTCTTGTCTCATCCCTCTCTTCAAAGGGAAAGCATTCAATGCATCACTGAAATGATTTACTACAGGTTTTTGGTAGATATTCTTTTTTTAGGTTAAGGAAGTTCTATTTCCTTCATTGCTAACAGTTTTTAATCAATAGGATTTTATCAAAGCATTTTCTGCACTTACTAACAAATGTTCTCCTTTCATCTGTTAATATGGTGGAATACATTTACAGATTTTCTCATGTTAAAACAACCTTCCTTCCCCTGATAGATCATCCTTTTTATGAATTGCTGAATCCATTCTGCTAAGATTTTTCTGGGACTTTTGCATCTATAAAGACTGATATTTTCTTCAAATTTTCATTCCTCTTATTTCTTGTTGGGTTTTCTTACATAAGTATTAGTTATTTCAGCCTTAAAAAAAAGTTGAAAAATGTTCTTTTTTTTAGTTTGTGTAAAAGTAAACTTACTGTTGTTACTTCTTAAAATAGTTGGTAAAATTTGCCAGAGAATCCATAGCTTTCTGGAAAGATTTTTAGCTACTGGTTGTAATCTGTTGATGAAGGGGGTCTGCCTGCAACCTATTTTTGTACTGTTCTCCGGCTAAGAACAGTTACTAAAATTTTGAAGGGGTGTTTTAATATACACATACACACATACATACATACGCACACACACAATAGAGATATTAACGGGCCTGTAAAGCCTAAATATTTATCTGGCCCAGGAAAAGTACTCACCCCTATTCTATGCCCTTAATCAATCTGTCTAATTGTTCTATCAATTAGAAAGAAGCATGTTCAAATCTCCCATTATGATAATGTCTGCTTATTTCTCCTTGTATTTTTATCAATTTTTGCATTTTTACTTTGAATTTATATCACTGTGTACATAAAATTTGTAATTATTACATCTTCCTGATGCATTAAATATTTTCACCTATAAGCAATGACCCTTTTTTACTCTGATAATTATTGAACTATTATGTGACTCTTGTTAAGTATACCAACTGTCTTTTGGTTAGAATCTGCATGATAATTTTAAAAATTTCTTTCAATCTTTGTCTTTAATCTTTACATATATGTCCTGTAAATAGAATACAGTTCTGACAGTCTTTGTCTTTATTTTACTGTTGTAAGAACACTTCAGTATGAGGTTTTTCCCTCTTAATAAATTTTAAATGCACATTGTTAACTACAGGTAAATGTACAGCAGACTATAGAGCTTATTCATTCTGTTTAACTGAAACTTATGCCTGTAACTTCCCATTCCCCTCTCCCCTGGTCCCTGGCTACCACCATTCCACTCTTTGATTCTCCAAATTTACCTGTTTTAGATATCTCATAAGAATGGAATCACACATTATTTGTCTTTCTGTGGCTGGCTTCACTTAACAATGTCATCAGGTCTTTGTCTTTTAACTGGAGTAATTAGTCCATTAACATTTAGTGTTGTATTTACGGATTATATTTGGATTCATAGTAACATCTCATTTCAGGCTTTTTATTTGTTTTACCACTTTAATTTCCTTTTTCTTTCTGGTTTTTAATGTATACAGTTAAAAATACACGTATGTACGTATGTAGATAGGTACATATACACACACACAAAAATCTTATAGCAACTATTCCAAAGTAATGAAGATTTAGAAACTGGTAAAGAAGGGAATTTAGTGGTTTTCTACTCTGAGAGAGAATTTATCCCAAAAGTACATAAAATCATATGTGTACAGTAATAACTAATTAGAACCCATTTCTTAACTCCCTGTCCACTATATAATAATGCCAAATACTTTTTTTCAATAAGATAATGCCATTAACAAATATGTAAAAACTAAAAATTTTCAAGTACTAGAACTTACTTCTTTTTCAGCTAATACTATTTTCTCTCTTCTCTGAATAAGCTCAAGTTCCTCTTGCCCTAACTTGGCCCAGAGCATTTTCAGGCCATGGTTACTTCTTTAAAACTTGCCTTTTTAAAATCCATTAAGTGGAAAACCTCAAGAGCCCTTCTCAGCAAATATTCCCTTTCCTATATACTGCTAGGCATTTAAAAGTAGAGAAAAAAATAAATGGTAGCTTGACAACTGATTAAACTTATACACACATCTCTTATCTCTTTTAGAATGGGAGCTGGCAGGAGTCTTTTAATTAAATTACTTTTATCTCACATAATGAGGGTGTGAGATTGACATACACAATAGGTCTTTTTTTAAAAAGCCCTAATGCTGGCAGTTCCCAAACTGTGCTCCAGAGTGCTCCAAGGTGGCCCTGTGGGATATTTCAAATGTTTGGGGAAAACACAGACAAACCTTACATGTCAGATACTGGCAAACTACTAGCTTGATATAATCACAAATGCAGCATTACATGGTGTTACATTTCTTTTGATGACAGGTTTTATCAAAGGTTTTATGAAGCCAGGTTTTGGCAGTTCCTGTGACTAAAAAAACCCCCAGTACCACAAGAAAATCAGTATGAAACAAGAATGCAGGTGGTTGTGTTGAATCCGTTTCCAAGGTTGAGAAGTCATGCAATTCCCAAAAGGCACACACATCTCATTAGTTGGTAACCACAATTAACAATGAAATAAAAATACTATTTCTTTCAATTTGTTTTTTTTTTCCAAACAGCTACTAGTTTGTTAGGCCATAAATACTTACTAAGCAGTTAGGACATAACTGCTTAAGTCTGAACTGAGGGATTTATTTTTTTTTTTGGCCATAGGGGCACTATGAAAAAGATCACTGATATGCCAAGGGCAACGTTAACAAAGAATTTGGGAATATCTGGCACAGTGGCAAGAACACTAAAAAAAAAAACCTTAAGGACTAGTCTTTGATTGTACCTGTTACCAGCACATAAGCCCATGGCAGGTCACTCACTTCACCTGATTTTTCTTCAATGGCTAAATAGGGACAACACTACTACTCTGAATATGTGAATACCCTGCAAACTGTGAAGCACAACATTCAGGCTGAACAGAAAAAAAAAATCTTATACATTTTCACCATAAGAAAAATCAAATAGGGTTTATAAATGATCACTTGAAAAGCAGGATCTCACCTTTCTGAAATCTCCTCTAACAACTCCATAAGTTTAGCAGCCAAACCCAGGCGTCGAAATTCCGGAGCGACAGAGAGAGCGGTGACGTGCCCGTGCCATTCTTCCCTAGCTACTGAGCCTTCCGCTTTACCCATGACTGCCAACAAAAGATTGCACTCAGTAATTAAACACACGGATTTATACATGAATACAGAATGACTGTTGGCACATTTTTATGATAAAGGAAACTAATGACAAAGTTTTAATTTTTAAGTAACACGTAAAGTCATCTAGCTAATGGTTAATAGTGCTCTTAATTTGACTTTCGCTTAGAGAAAGGTTTCTTTTTAAAAAAAGGAATAAACTAAAAATGCAACTAATTTTGAACACAGAACCAGAATATCTATTTCTTTAAATATCTACATTTCATGTAGTTATGTATGTGTACCCAAAACTGAGATAACCCACAGCTCAAATTTTCATTAGTAATGCTACTAATTCAATGGAGATGCTACAATTCCTGTGTTATGTACCAAATAAACCATGTAGACATGTAACATAAGCACAGAATGAAAGATCCATGAAGCCTGAGGTCATGTCTGTCTGTATCTACCCCTGAGGCCTAGAGCACAATGCCTAAAATGTAGAAAGCATTGTCGAGCTGTCAGTGGTTAAAGGAAATAAAATTATAGGCATCATGATTATATTTCCACCTCTGCAATCAATCTAAATCAGTTGAAATCTATATTAAAATCTCAACTGCCTACCCAAAAAAGTTCTAGTGGTATTATACTTACTATAACCCATTAACTCTCCACCAGGTGCCTCCGCAACAATGAAGTACTCTGGCCAGTGGGCAAGGTACTGTAAGTAAAAAGGAATCCCATACTAGAGTCTCGTTAAGGAGTGTGGAAAGTAACGGACAGTACAAAGTTCTTCATAAAAGAAATATTGTGAAGAAAGTTCCTTTGAAAAGTACATTGTTACTTTATCCCCAGGTCTATATATGTGTGATTTCTATATTCATGTCAGTACATTAAATATTTAGGTCAGCACTAATAATTTATAACAAAATTGCCTGAATACAGAACTTCAAAAATATAAGTGGCAACAACACCATCTAACAGCAGAGAGCCAGAAGTCTGAAGTTCTATCATCTGTGTCCATACTGATTGCACTGTATCTAAATCTCGGCACAGCACTTATCACTGGATATTGTTTACTATCTCCCTTTTGGATATGAATGTCATGTTCACTCTATCCCTGGTGCTTGGCACAAAGTAGATGCTCAGTACATTTGTTTTTCCATAATTGCACTAGAAAATTAATGACTAGTTCCTACTTTAGCTTCAGCTGTGTGGCTGTGAAAGTAACTTTAAAAGTTAAGCACTCACTCCCAGAGTCAACAATTACCTAGTGTTTCCGCTGCACTGATTCAAATTCTCTCTCTCTGGTACTACAAATAAAAGCTGACTTAAGAGTGAAAGCCTGAATAATTTGCTCAATACGAAACTCTTCAATCCTGGCATCCTTACTGACATGTGCTTATTCTTCTATTTCTTCTTAGTGTAAGCTTGCTGATGCAATTCTATGAGGGGCCACCACCAATCACAATTTTTTTTAAGGTTCTGTAAAATCTGCTCAGTTGTAAACTCTTCAGACTCTCCTCTGAACAACAACCACTGTTTTGAGCACTCTTCAAACATAACCAGTAACAGGGCAGGCCGGCCAGTCTTCTTGCCATTCAGCCACCGACACACACCATTACCACCTCTCCTCCAGCTCCAGGAGGAGGCCAGATGTTGGCTCAGCAACTACCAAGCCCTGGCAGGTTACTTTCAAACATGGCCTCACCTGGATTATGGGACTTTTACTGTAAATTTGAAGTGTCAGTAGACACACACGCTGTAACTTGATTTCGCATCCTAATACTTTACCTTATTATACAGTGAAAATTTTTGTGTCATTCAGAAGTCTTTTTTTTTTTTAAACATGGAGGTCTCTTTAAAAAGTCATAATTTTTGAAATATAAAATGAAACCTTTTGGTGATTTTTTTGCTTTTTCACTCAGCTTTATTTCTGATATGTACCCCTGTCATTCATTACCTATACCTATAATTAATCTTTAATAATGTACAGTACACTCCATTGGGTAAACAATTTAAATTTCCTATCTCTTGACAAGGGACATGTGGGTTATTTTCAGTTTCTCAAAAATCTTTTTAAATTCCTCATGAATACAGTATAATTTAACCATTTCCTTGTTGTGTGTGAATGCTATTCTAAATTTTTAATACTAGAATTCTGCAATAAAATTTTTTGTAATGACATACTCGGGTTAACAAACATTTCCTATAATGGGACAGAC